TGGTTGCTTGGATGACCACAGGCAGCATAGGAATGGTATTTGCTAGGTACTTGAAGTCCATAAAAAAGCCTCTTCTGGGAAAAGATATTTGGTTTCAGGTATGTATGCAAATCAGTCTGATCTCTGACTGGACAGAGAGGGCTGTTATTCTGCTAGGTCCAGAGAACAAGATACAAATTGATGAGAGACCTTATAAGACCAGTTTCTGTTGGTGAAAGTATATCTGAACTTTTCACCAGCACCGATCATAAAACTAGTTGATTTTTAAATAATTTATTAATCAACCTATAAGATTTATATCTCAATTCTGAACCAATGATGATGTAAATGAAAACAATTCATACAAGAATAGTAATACTTTTAGAAAGTTAGCAATAAAAGTTCACTGTCGTTCACAGTGTATACAAATTTTCTGCTTCTTTCTGATTAACAATTGGTTGCAATTAAAAACAAATACCTTGCTTGTCCTTTCTCAAATACAAATTGGCTTAATAGCAAAACTTAGCATTTATATAGTATTTTGCAAGGGTTCAAAACATTTCAGATGCATTATTTCATAATGTTTTACAATAGCCTTGTAGGGTCACTTTTATGGATCTTATATTGCATATCAGAGGCTGAGGATGAGAAAATAGTAGCTTGCCTGAATAGGTGTGGCTAGGTCTTTCTTTACATGTTATATTTTGCATGCGTTCACCATGGAAACTTGTAGCCATACTGCAGCTGCGAGTCCCCATTGGCAACTCATATAAAATATAATGTGTAGTTTGGCCTGAGTCATAGTTCAACTGAAGACTTCACAGTCTTAGGCATTATAAAGCAACAGCCTCACTTGCATAACTGTTGTGTGTCTTTCAATCATGATGGTAGTAATTGTGGCAGCAGGCAAACTTTTGTCCGAAGTGCTGGAAAAAAATGCAGCATTTACCTGTGGAGATGTTAGTGTTGCAGAAAATAAAAATAGGCAGGGGGAGACAAGTAGTGTTCCCTCTAAGCTGAGTTGGTGTGATCTAGCTCACAGTTTTTTAGCCTCTGGCTCACACATTTTTGTCTTAGCTCAGGAAGGCTGGCTCCAGAGCAAACTAATTTATGCAGTAGCCAAATTGCTTGCTCACAACTTTAATGCCAGTAGCTCACAAAGTAGAATTTTTGCTCACAAGACTCCACAGCTTAGAAGGGAGCATTGGAGACAAGGGTTGCGCTTGGAGACATGCTTGAAGCAAAACAAGCTCCATGGGATTCACCTTGTGTAGATCTGGGTGGTAATGAGGGGTATAAGCCATGCCTGTTGCCTTCTCCCACACCACTGGCCACAGCGGTGGTGCCAGTGCCTTGGTTGCTTGAGCAAAGGTCTGGGTGCCAAGCAAAATGGTCTGGTGTGCCACTGTTGGCTCACATGTTAGGAGTTGCCTGCCCTGGCATATTGACACAAACAAAACCTCTAAATCTTACTTCATACTATTGCTCCTGGTCTTCTTTATGTTTTTTAATGGCATTGGCATGTGTAGCAAGATTGTATCCTCTAGTATGTTATGCTGTGCCTGTGATTTCTTTCTTTATGTAGGAGTGCAATTTTCTGCCCTTTTCTATTCAAGTCAGCTTTTCCTTTACTGCGGAAGCAGATCAGTCTCTGTAAATCCTGGTTACCTTCCTTTGGGCTTTGGGGTTTGCACATTCCTGCCTGCAGATGGTGAAAGAGAATCAGAAATTTTATTTAAGAAGAGATCATTCTCATGGCTCTTGAGGAACAAAGGATGTGTCTTTTCTAAATGTCCATTCTGTATGATGGTGGCATACTAGTTAAATAGAATCAATTCTTCATATTTTATTGTTGTCTTCTAATTTTAGACTTTGGTTTCCTTTTCCTTTTAGATTCACTTCTGGATGATGTTGCTAACTGTAGCTGCAACAATAACTGCTTTCGTATTGGCCTTTGTAGCAGTAAAAGGATGGAGTAGTGTAAGTTGTGTAAATTAAGAAAAATCTGACATTAAGACCCTGGACAACAACTAATTTTAGAAAGTGAGGATCTTTTTAGTACTTTTTAAAAAGTTTTGGTTCTTTTTGTCTGCAGAAATATGAACATTTGTCGAGGTAGTCGGGTTTGCATAGACTGGGGAGTGAATGAGCCACTATAGCAATGTTTATCTCTGTGGGTGTAATTTAGCTGTAAATGGATGTTCTTTTAGTCCTTCACATATGTGAGAAAATGGATATCTGCAGGGTAAAGCATTAAGATTATTAAGAATTAAGATTAAGAACTGAAATATGTGCCATGTCCTCTAATCTCAGCTTCTCCAGACAAAGTCTACTGAATTTTTTTGTGGCATTAATTTTGAGACAAAAAAATTAAAACATGGTTGTAACGCTTAAGGGAATTTCCCTTTCTCAGTGAGGTGATTTGACAGGTACTAACAAAGCGGATTTCAATCATACATTTTTCCTTCTTCCACAGTGGGCACAAACTCATGCCATTATTGGATGCATCGTTATGGTTCTGTGTTTCTTTCAGCCACTGATAGCTTTTTTCCGTCCTTCTCCTCAAAACAACAGGTTTGTATATCATACATTTAATCAGAATAGATCATATGCATACCTTTACTGTTCTTGCTGTAGAAGCATGTTTAACTTGTCCAAAACTGTTCTGGAATGTGTAGAAATATGGCAGACAGTTCTCTTTCAGTTCTGATTTGACATTTTCAGGAGGGCCAGCCAACACTTCTGGAGATTCATTTTAAATATAAACAACAATATGCATGTACCTTTCTTCATGCTTATTTGCATGTTTAAAAGTGTTAGGTGGTGTCCACGTGGAGAAGTTTCCCTGTTGCTACTGATGTAGAGAAGTGACGATGGGGTCTCTGCATGGGAGATTTCTGCAGTTTCCCTGCCCCGTTCCCCTGGCAGTGGCCATCCCAACTCCCTCAGGCAGCTAGGCCACAGAGGCTTTTTCAGTATTTTTAAATAACCATTTTAATATTGATACATGTTACAACAATCTGTGTATCAGCTTCTCTGAATTCCCAGGTTTCGTTTTTTTAAAATTAAGTAAGTTTCTAGCCCCTTTTATTGCGGAGACATGCCTTTCCACTTACATTTCCATAATGAAAAGGGCTACAATCTTACTTAAATAAATGAAAGCTAGGAATTCGGAGAACCTGATATACAGATTTTTTTTTAAAAAGCTTCTTTCCCCCAATGGGTGGGTAAGGAAAAAGAAATGGCCGCTGTAGGGACCAGGGTAAGGGAAATGGCTGCCATGTGGGTGGGAAAATCCACCCATTTGGCAGCCATCTGGGTTTTACTGTGATCTTCCCCAAAACTTTACAGTAAACCAGATTTGAAAAAGTACAGAGAAAAACCAGGGAAACTCCAGCAGGTGCAAGAATGTACCATGATGCTGTGAGGAAGCAGGAAAATCCCCAGCTTCCCAACAGCATTGAACCCAGCTCAGATAATCCATGTGGAACTGACAGGAATAGTTAGGCCTGACTGCCACCATAACATGTAGGGTTGCCAAGTCCTATCTTCACCCCCAACGGGGGACTTTGGGGAGGCGTTCCTGAAGGGGGGCGGGGCATCCCCGACGTGATGACATCACATTGGGGACGTCCCCCCGTCTGCCCGACAGGGGCACCAGCTCTCTGCAGTTAAAGGGGCCCCTTTAACTGCAGGGAGCCAGCATTTCCACGTGCTCGATCTCTGAGCGGAGATCAGGCCATGTGGCTGGCCCGCAGTCACCCCTCTCCCTCCTCTCACTCAAGGGAGAGCGGTGGCAGTGGGTGTTGGGGCTTGTAGGGGACCCAAAAAAGCGGGGGACCCCTGCCAAACCGGGTTTGGCAACCCTAATAACATGGCCTGACAACCATGTAGCATCTGACATCTGTGTAGCACTGGTCTGCACAAGAAAATCCAGTTGCAAATGGCTGCTGTAGCACATCAGTAGTGAAATACCCAGCAATATGTGGACACAGCTTTTGTCACTCTTAGCTTCCCATGTAGTTGTTTACGTTCTGCTGGCTGTGATGGAACTCCAGCTTCCGGCCTGAACCACCTAGAAGGAGAAGCCTGTCAAGAGTCACTGGGGAGCTCTTAGCGTACTTAGTCTAGACATGCTTACAAAGGCTCTCAGGTCCTTAGGGAAGCAAGAGAGGTGGTGGGAGCACCTGTAGATTCCCATGCTTCGACTACAGAGTAGACACACACAGTGTAATTCTTATGAGGGCTGCTTCACATAGGCTTGCCAAGTCCCCCTGGGGGTCGGGGAAACCCCCGCCCCAGAGGCCCACTCCCCACTGCCAGTGGATCGGGCCCCGGGGGGGGAACCCCACCCCCAAAGCACGGGACGTCCCAGGCATCAGCACGTCACCCTGAAGTGACGCAGCCACGCTGGGCGCGCCGGGGGCGGGGCCGCGATCATCTGAGGGAAAACTTTATGTTTTTCCCTTGGATGACCACCTGGCGCAGCCGCGTCACTTCAGGGTGACGTGCTCGCAGCACGCGCGCACACGTGCACTCCCAGAGCAAGCCGGGAGTCCCCCACTGCGGCTTAAGGTTGGACTTGGCGACCCTAGCTTCACACATTACAAATTCTGCATGTCTCTGACATGTCTGCCCTGATCGTCTCAATCAGTCATGTGCTGGGGGTTGCATGGTTCGAACTTAATTCCCAAGCATTGAACCCAGCTCAGATAATCCATGTGGAACTGACAGGAATAGTTAGGCCTGACTGCCACCATAACAACGGGGGACTTTGGGGGGGGGTTTGATTCAGATTGGGACTGTGGCACATTGGGAATGGGGGGCCTTAAAAGCCTTCCCACATGTGTTGTTTTCCCAGCTTTACACAACCTAGAGAGCTGCTGTTTGCCCCATTCAGGAAAATTGTGTATAACGCTCAACGGGACAAACAGTGAGCTCTGTGTGACCATTTCTGGTGTGAAACACAGCACAAGAAGGAAGCCTTAAGAACCCCGTCCTTCTTGCTTTGAACTGGGTCTGTATGAGCCTGGGAAGGAAACTCTGAGCACAAAACTCTCAGAGCAGGCCTAATCCAAAGGACCAAGGGAAACATGGGAGAGGGGGACACACGGACTTTGTAACCTGGGAACTGGCACTCAGAATATAGGAACAGAGTTCAATGCTGTCCGTTGTTTGTCCGGGCGCACTGAGAAATCAGACAGTCTGTGTCTTGGCTATACTGGTTTTCTACTGGGGACACATGGCTAGCAAAATCGAGGAGCTGTTGCACTTGAAACTCACTGTAACCAAGATAAAGAAGTGGGCTTTAAATTGTAGATGGTAGGATCAAGTCTCCACATTCAAACCTTTGTGTTGGCAAAGTCTGATTAAACGTTCTTATATAATTATTAGAGATGAAACTGGGTGTGAGATTGTGATTACCAAGATGCATGCACTGTTATGAGTTTCTCCAGTTTTTCTTGCATAAATTGCATTAATCTTATGAAGAGAGGCAGTTTTACATGGTCACAAGGGTGGTTTAGAAGAGAAATCTCAGATTGCAAGAACTCACCATGGCCTGTTTTCAGAGCCGAAGCTTTTGGGCCCTATGAAATAATAACCAAATACATTTTTGAACATGTGCAAGGAACAGTCCGCCATATCACTGTGTAACCACAACCAGTCCACACACATCTGGCATTAAGCTAAGATTATAGAGCAGATGGCATGAATTTCAGGTAGCATTGAGTCTCAGTACTCGTGGATTTATGCTTCCCTTGCTCGAAAGCTAGTCGAGTCCGACTCTAGGGTTGCGGTGCTCATCTCCGTTTCAAAGCCGAAGAGCCAGCGCTGTCCGAAGACGTTCCCGTGGTCATGTGGCCGGCATGACTAAACATCAAAGTGCACGGAACGCTGTTACCTTCCCACCGAAGTGGTACCTATTTATCTACTTGCAATTTCTTGCTTTCGAACTGCTAGGTTGGCAGGAGCTGGAACTAGAGATGGGAACTCACTCCATCATGCGGCACCCGGGTCTCGAACTGCTGAACTACTGACCTTCCACAGCCTGCAGTTCAGCGTCTTAACCACTTGAGCCACCGCAGCTCCTTGAGTCTCAGTACTCGTGGATTTATGCTAAAATGAAATTCTGATTCTGCAGCTGTCTATAGAGTCCAGTGTATTGTAGTAGATGATAACGTGCAGGAGTAATGACAGTAGTAACCTCCTTTTAAGTTATTTGTGGTGGCCATCTGCTGAATTTTTCTGCATCCTATGTGGAAGATGGAAGGATATTACTGTGTGTGTGTCTGTATAAAGTGGAGTCCTGTTAGGGTTGTGGGTATTTTAATGTCCTATTTATATTCTCTTTGTGATGAAATATAACAATGGTCCCCAGTATGGGACTCACAGAGGCAGAGTGTTTCCTGGAGGCCACTAGCTTTTTAAGGGAAAAATCCAAAGGTTCTTGAATGGAACAGGGGTGGGGAAATGAGGAAGCTTGAGGTTATGTTCTAACAGCCAGCTCACTAAGAAAGTGTGGAGATTATCCTGGGCAAGTGTGTCGCAGCCCTACGCCTTCAGCTTGGGCACAGGGACAGACGTTATGTCTCTGGGCATGGTAGCCTTTCCTTGTGGCAGTGCAGGGAGAACACCCACCCCTTTCTTAGGAAACTGACACCAAACAGCAAAACAGAGCTGATCTGGCCCCATTTGCAGCCATTTTGTGATGGCCCAAAGCAGCAGCAGGGATATTGTGATTGGCTCCTTCCTCATGGTTTCCATTTTGTGATGGTACCATTACCCATTTTTGAAATTCCAAAAGTGCTTGCAGACCCGACAACATTGGGAACTGCTAGATTACAGTAAGAAAAAGTTGTGTGTGGCTTCTCCAGGAGGCTATCAAAAGCCACCTTCCCACATCAGGATCACATTCCTGGGAAAAGCTGTCCATATTGTTGCTGTATCTCAAGACATTTCAACTAAGGCTTCAGGCACTCTTTTCAAGGGACATCTAATAGCCCAGGCAAGGCTGATCTCGTCGGATCTCGAAAGCGAAGCAGGGCCGACCGTGGCAAGCACTTGGAAGGGCGACCTCCAAGGAATACCAAGGCCAGGACACAGAGGCAGATCATATCAAAGCCATCTCTCCAGAACATCCTAGCCCCACTAGGGGTCGCCAGAAGTCGTAATGACTTTGAGGGTCACAAGTACACACGTGCGCACACACAACCACACACACAAATACCATTAAAAAAAAAAAAATGAGGCTCACAAGTACACACGTGCGCACACACAACTACACACACACAAATACCATTTTTTTTTTAAAAAAAATAGGTTTTCCGGATTGGCAACTAAAAATAATACCCATTGCAATCCCGTGATATTTGAAAATGACACAACTTAGGTGAGGTCCAATGCTTCAGGACTTGTGGAAAACAAACATTCCCCTTATTAACTGGTTTGGGTTGGGAAGTAAATACATCACTGCAGCGGCTGTGTCATTTTCCCCCAGTAATGGCTCTGGGTGTGCTGGTTGAGAAGGAATTCTTGATTTGTTACTGAGTGAAAGAGAGCCTTCCCACCCACTCACAGTCTATTCCATCACACGAAGGCATGATACCTTATCCCTGCCACTGCCTAATGTTTACTCCTTAAAGAACAAAGATATCTAACACAGTGTTTTGCATTGCATCAACAGGAGGTTCATTTTTAATTGGTTTCACATGCTAAATGCATTAGTCATCAAAGTATTGGCAGGTAAGTGGAAGTTTCTTTCTGACTTAGAAGTACAAATGCTCCCATTGAATATGACTGTCTAGAAATTTGCATGACTTTGATGGGATACACCTTATTAAAAAAAAATCCAGCAACGACAGTGGAATGTGAACACCCTGATCCTGATTCCAGCGGTAGGCAGAGTAGCTTGATAGAGGCAAGGAACTAATATACATAAGGGCTGCGTTCAGACGGGCAGCTAATCCTGCCATTAGCCCGGCTCTAATTTGATCCTGATCTTTTTAATCCAGTGTTGCACAACCAGACAGCTCCCCCATGAATCCCCTTACTGCGCGCAGACTCCATGGTGGATTGTCTAGACGGTGTCCACCTGAAGGAGTCACATGGTCGGGGTTTAAAAAAAAATACTGGCTGCGCATCTGCGCCTCAACGTGTACTTGTTTTTCTGCGCATGCGCGGAATTGAATAATTAAAGCACCGCCAGTGGTACCTCCCTCTAGGTACCATTTCACTTAAGGCAGTTCATAAATTTCACAGGCCATTCAGAAACATGAAATTGTCCAGAACGTTTGAGTGGAGCTTTGCGGCTGTCGCGCATTTACATGTTTATGTGCATGTTGCTAAGAATTTTTTTAAATGGCAGCCCCGGACTTTCACTGGGCTGAAAGGGCTGAACACAGAAGCGGCACTGTTCCCAGATGTTGCTGTCTGATCAGTCCCTTTAGATCCGCCAGGCACTCATGCTTGGGGCGGATCTAAAGACCCGTTTGATTGGACCAAGGACAGTTTGATTGGATTTCTTTATGCACATATGCTTTGAATCTAAGAGAAAATTTCTCTCTTGAGTCTCAGAGAATCCGAAGTACAAACGGTTATTTCTATCGAATGCGTAAACATTCAGCAGCCATGGGTAGAGCTTTCCATAGTCAAACAGTTCAGCTGCCAAAACATCCTTTTTTCCCAAGGGAACTGTTCTCTGCAGTCTGGAGATGAGCTGTAAGTCCAGGCAAGCCCCAGGTCCCACCTGGAGGCTGGTATCCATAATTCAAGGAGACTTGGATACAGCTGGAAACTTGATGCCTGTTTGCAGGGCTGGAAGACATGATGGGGAACCAGGTGGGGGAATGAGCATTCTAAAAATCCAAGCAGCCTTTCTTTAACCCTCTGAAAAACCAGCGTGTGATTTTCCTGCCTCTCCTGTCCTGTGCTTTTGGCAACAATAACTCACAGCAGCACACCTTTAAGGTAAAATCGGATTTTATTAAGGAAATTAAAGCAAAAGATTTTAAAAGCAATATAGCTCCAGTGGCAGTTCCAGGTACACAGAAAGCAAGAAATACACTTACAGGTATTTGCAGCATAGGTATTAACTTTTCATAGCTTTAGTAAATCCAGTTTACAGCAGCATATCTCATATGAGGTAGAGATGGAATAGGTTAAAGGGATTAGGAAGAGACCTAATAGCACAAACTACACTTTATAGCAGTGTGGGCAATAGACCACCTGACTCTCTCCAACCAATCGGTGGGCTGTCTCTGAGGTAGATTCTGAATTAAAGCATGCTTTCTCTCCCCCTCCCATCCACATCCAGCTCAAACAAGTGAGCTAATTAGCAAGGTTTGAGAAATGACCTTGGGTACTAACTGTCTGTAGGTGTGTGGGGGGGTGACAGCTGTTGTTAACAAACCAGAAAAGGGGGGGGGGAGTTAAGTGGAACATTTCCTCTGAAGATGGCTTCTTTCTTGACAATCCCCTATTCTGGATGGGGTTACATTCTCTTTAAAGAAACAGGTTCAGAACTTGGGGGTGCTCCTGGACCTGGGCCTCCTGTTGGATAAACTGGTGGCAGCAGTGGCCAAGAATGCCTTTCAGCAGCTTCAGCTAGTGAGCCAGCTGCAGCCTTTCCTGGACAGATTTTGCCACTGTGGTGCATGCCCTGATACATCTAGGATTAGATTACTGTAATGCCCTCTATGTGGGGCTGGCCTTGAAGACTGTCCAGAAGCTACATTTGGTACAGAATGCTGCAGCCAGAGTGTTGACTGGAGTTGGTCATAGGGACCATATCATTCTAGTCATGTTCCATCTACACTGGCTTCCAAGTTGCTTCTGGGCTCAATTCAAGGTGCTGGTATTGACCTTTAAAGTCCTGTATGGCCTGGAAACAACATACCTTCAGGACCACCTTCTCCCATGCCATCTAAGGCTAGACGAGTGGTGATTTGAGACTTCTGGAAACACCTTGAGAATCTAACAAGACATAGATTCTGTGAATGATTACACTAAGGCTGTGGTCACACTGGTGGCTTGGCACAATATGGTGCCACCTCTAATTGAACTGGCTTAAAGTGTTGCGGGGCATATCAGCCACACAGCGCACCCTGCTGCAGGTTACCCATGGAGAAACCCTGTGGTAAAGCATCCACATTATTGCAGCGCCTCAGCCACAGAGCACACTGCAAATCTTTTTCCAAAATTCATGTGCGTGCATAGTGTGCATGCGCATACACGCACATGCACACAAAGGCAATTAAAAAACCTGCCTCCCTAGTGGCAGAACGGATATGCAGCTTCAGACTGCCAAATCCATTCTCCGTGCGCTCCCCCACGTTCAGACATCCAGCCATGTGCAATGACTGCGCGGGGAAGCGAAAACACCACTTGTGATGTGGTTCCTTTTTAACCCGGCTCCAATTTGTCTGAAATATATCAGACTCAGTCAGCTCTTGAACAGTGAAATCAGCTTTATTGAACCAGAAAAAATCAACATGAAAAATCATAGGAGCCTGAGCTCCTTTTAAACATCCCGGGCTGGGAAGGCCACGCCCAGGTGAACGGTAAGAAACAATTATATTTACAAAATAAAGACCAATAATTGTTGTTCCCTCCAGTCTCAATCCTTTGCTCTGATTGGCCTGCTGTCAGAAGCAGCCAATCAGAACGTGCATTTTAGGATACCAGTCTTTAATAGGCATCTGTCTGAAGCTAAGGCATGCAGAAGAAATCATAATACATAACATCGTCCTATGACGGGATATAAGTATGGCTGGGGAACACCTGACAGATGTGGCTGTCTGACTGCGCCCATTTGATCCGGAGGGGAGGAGAAGCTGTGTCCTGCCAAACTGCCCGTGTGATCACGGCCTCAGTCTTGCTTCTGAAGCAGGTGCAGGATTGACTATCGTGAATCAGGTCACTGAGATCCATTTGACAGAATAAAATGGTAGTACTTTCTGGACTATATTCCTGTGGACTACAGTGGAGGAAGACTAAATGTGTCCCTTCCCCCTTTCCATGAAAAGCAGTTCTGCACAGACAAACAGCCTGTTGGAAAAAAGGCAAGGGAACTTTATTTTAACTGAAGAAGCAGTCAGCTGTACAGTCTTCCACAGACCGGCTGAAGGAGTGCAGTCCTTGAAAAACTTTACCACTGATTCTACCGATTGTATTAACTGCCCTTAGAATCTGGAACAGGAAACTGAAATGTGCTGCAAAGGAGCTGTTGCCTAAATGTAACTTGCTTGCAGTGTTTTTTTCTCTTTTTCATCTTAGATGCTGACCTATTTCTGGGTCTAAAAATGCTCAACTCTCCTGACCACTGGATGGTTAAAACCATGGGCGGCTTTGTGGGATGGGAGGCATTAATAGCCATCACACTGGATGTAAATCTCTGGTTGAAAAAAAGAGGTACAGTTTGATTCTAATTCACACATACCAATGTTTGTTGCCCGTATTTAATAAAGCAACAAGGCAAAGCAGAATTAAGTAACATTCCTGTCTTTTACATTTTTAGAAATTTATGACGATTCACAAGCAAAGGTAATCATTCCCCCATACCCCCCCCCCCCCCCCGGTCTTAAGCAATTTGTTTTATAGCTATCTAGAACTGTGATACTGTTGTAAAACAGAATGTCTTCTTCAGTAGGAGAAGTTGATTATTTTTAAAGGAGTGTGTTTTGCTTTCCTGTTTATAGCTGCTGGTTTTTAGATGT